TTTTATTTATTTATTTGGGATTGAACTCAGGACCTTGCACTTGCCAGCAGATGCTTATGCTACTGAGCTATACCCACCCCGAATCAACTTTTTAAAATCAGCTTTTTGTAATGGAGTTGGTCATTTGTTCAAAACAGACTTTTTAATATGGCATTACTTTAACTTATACCTTCATACCAAGGAAGAGAAATACATCAGGAAAATCATTTATATAATTTGTAATCTGCCTTATATTTAAAAAAACCCAGAATCACTTGGATTCTGAGAATTTTACAGCCCAAATTAAAGCACAAACCCACTGTGTATCCCTTGTTTTAATGGGTTAAAAGTGTGAGAAGTAGACTTTGTCTTTCTGTCAAAGTACTAGGCTGAAGCAACTCCATTTTGGGTTTAAATGACCTGGCCGTCTGCTGCTACCCTCTCCCTATTAATATCCTGAGCTCCAAGAAATGGTGGCCGGGTACCTTTTCTCAGAATACAGCCGGCTTCCAAGGAAACAATCGCGGACTTTCCCTTCCCAACTGCACATCCCCTGCATCTAACTGACCCAGCAGCACACGGCCCCGCCCTCAGCCAACGGGATGGACTGTAGGCGTCTACACTCTGCCAGGGGTTGACGCATAGTTGCTTCCCATTGGGGCTTAAAATTCCACCCCCACCCCCGCCCCAGCGCATTGGCTACCTCGTGATGTGCTTGCACCCCTTTGCAAAAGTAAAAAGTCAGATCAAGATTTCTTGGTGTCTGAGTGCTTTATTTTCTGCACCATGACAAATTGCAGCTGGGGGCTTATTTCTAACAAGGAAGGAATGCGCTAAGTAGGAAAAAAATCATCAGTTGCCCTTTATCTTCTTGGATTAGGCTTTGCAAGTATTTGCCCCGGGGGACCAGTGACAGATAAGAGGGGAGCACATTGCACATTTTATCAAGGGACAGGTACTCCCTACTGTCCTCTTTTCCCTGCCCATTTCCTTCCTAACATCAGGGGCTCTTGGGCAGGATCCCTGGTCTTAAATGAACACTAGTATGTTTCCTAGATAGAATTTCCTTCAATGACTTTTAATCTATTTTCATTTCAATGATGTCATTTCTATTATAGTCATCTCTGGACTTGTCTTATTGTCCTTTTGTTTGCTAATTGGGTTTAGATTTAGAGAAAGCCTTAGGTAGATGCTAAAATAGCAGCCCTAGATTAGATTGTGTTTCTTTTGCTCTAACATCCAGATGTGGGTGGCCTAATGGTGCCAAAGAACGTTGTTCTCTGAGGTCGACATAGACTTGGTACCTCTTAGTTCTTTGTTTTATTTTCTGTGGTCTTTATTCTAAAGGTTGCTTCATGGTGCAAGAAGACGGCAGCCGTGCCATCAGTCATGTCCATCTTCCAATGCCAGGGAAGCAGGAAAGTGGGTAAAGACTCCTCTGAGTAAGCAGCTCCTTCAGGGCAGGTGTGAAGCTGTCTCAGGACAGGCTTGCTTATAGGAACCAGTCGGCCCTAATTCTCATGGCTGTGCATAACTGCAGGGAACAGTGGCAAATCATCTTTGTTTTGGGAAGCCTTGTGCCCAGCTGAATAATCTAGTGGGAGAATGAATGTTGGGAGGAAATAGCAGCATGGTCTTTTCAAACCATGCTGCCTTGGGAGTCCCCCCCCCCGTCAGATAAGAAAGCCCCCACTCCTGGACCCCAAGTTCAAGGCCAGCCTGGGTGACACAGCAAGAACACACACTGATGACATAACAGAAAGCAGAAAAGAAAGCCCCACTCCTCCTCCCTCTCTCCTCCTCCACAGTTGCAGTCACCAACCCAGGTCCTCACTTCTTGTCATCCTTACGAAGCCCTGGGTGATCTCCACCGTGCGTGGTTCCCCTCCCGGGACCTGATGGTGGCTGTCCATGGAGGTCAGCCTGCGTCTTCCTCTTTCCCAGCCCTGCAGAGATGACCTCATCCCCTGTCCCTTCTGAGCCCCAGACCCTCAGATCTGGCTGATTACAGACTATTTTTACTTCTGTCTCTCAAAAGAACTCCTAGTAGGTGACCTAGTGCAGCGTCCCTTATGTAACACAGACTGGACAAATGGGTGAATAGACGGACACACTGACATGGTCCTAGTAGAAAGACAGACTCACTTTCACTGTGAACCCAGCCCTTTAGCATGTACTCTTCACTCGTACAACACTGTGCACGCACAGCAAGAGACAGGAAGCGTCCCCACAGCCAGCGCTCAGGTGACCTTTCCCACACGGCCAGTTTCCCCAGTGGTCACTGGCTGAGAGAAGGGTCGAGTTTGCTCGAGACAGGAACTTGTGGTCATTCCTTATGCTGCTTTTTTCTGGAACCACCACCTGCCACACACACACACATACATGCCTGAGGTGCATACTAAGCAGTCCTTGAGTATTTATGGCACACAGTCTGAAGCAGTGCAGAGAAAATGAGAGACATAAGAAGGAGACAGAGGAGGAGGAGGCCTTTAATGCAGGCACAGGAGAGCTTCTCAGGGCAGGGGGTACAGAGGCTCTCAGGGAGAACAAAGAAGTGGGACTACTTTTCCCAGTTCTGGCTGGGGAGGAGTTGATGATGTATTAACTGCTGATTTGAAGGAGCACCTGCCTGTGTAAGACAGGAGACAGAAAGGGGGCTGGGGGGGGGAGAGGCTTGGGTGTTCGTGGAGACTTGGGATTGGAGAGGGCTCAGGGCATGTGCAGAAAGGGAGTGGGAGGTTTATCGCTGAATGAGGAGGAGGACGTAGAAGTTAGGCTTGGAGAGAGAAGTTGTTTCTCTGGGCCCTGCACCAGGCTGGGAGGAGGTAAGCTGAAGCCCAGCCAGCGGCACCTATGGGTCCCAGCTCATGTCTCAGCGCTGGGTCTGACTCAGTGCTACATGATGGCTCTCCTCCGCTGCCTCCTCTGACTCAGCGCCTGTCCTCCTCCAGCTTGCTGCTTCCAAGAGGCTGGGGTGCCCACTGTCTGCGGGGTCTCCCCCAGTGGAAGGCCACCCCTGCGCCTGTGCCGTTTTGTCACTTCTATCCCGAGCCACAGTCTCTAAGACTGTCCTGACCACTTCACCCAAACATGTAGTGCCTGGTACGTTCTCCTGACCCTTTTCATTTGTCTCCACGCCAATTTCTTTTTCCCTGTCAGCAGATGGCCCTGCACACCTGTGAGTTTTGCACGTGTGGATCCCCAGCCCCAGCCGGAAAACACCCCGGAAAAGGAGATGGTGTCTGCAGACCATGGCAGGCCTTCCTCCTGGCCGCCAGTCCCTCACTGCCAGGTCTCCCAGTGGCGGGCTTAGCACTTGCATGGTCTCAGGCGTAGTTACAAGCGATCCGGAGGCGATGATCTAGGTACACGGAGGATGTACCTGGTTCCAGGCAAGCACCACAGTTTCCATAAGGGATGTGGGTGTCGGTGGGGGTTGGTGTCCATGGGGGTCCTGGAGCCAATGCCTTGCAGATACTGAGGGAGACTGTGTCACCTCTAGTGTGTTTTACCTCCTTACCTGGTTTGCTAACTTCCTAATTGAAAATAAGCCCCATGAGAACAAGACACATTTTTAAACATGAGGTTGGCCTACTCCTGGTTGCCCACCTCCTAGAATACTGCCTGGCAGATTGTAAGCACTCAGCAAATTGAATGAATGAATGAATGAATGAATGTATTTCCTCTTCCCTCCGCCTAGTATTCCTCAGCTCAGACTGGCGTGGTATTTTATCCACTCAGCAGCACTCCTGGGTGGTGATTGGATCACAGGACTAGGAATAAAATTGTGGGGGAAAGTGGGAACTAGCAGGCATCACGAGCCCTGGACAGGGGCGAGTGATGAACAGAGAACCAACGTTATTGGGAGCACTCTAGGTGCCAGACCCCAGCAGGTGCACATGTCACCACCCCGTCAGGGAGGTGCTTGTAGGGCTCTCACTTGATACCTCAGGGATCTGAGGCACACAGAAGTGGATTCTCCTGTCCAGGGTCACACTGTCATTAGTAGTAGATCACAATTCTAAGCCAGGTATCTCACTGGACAACAGGCCTTCCCCACCCCGGGAAGGCTGATTGTGTTTCCGTGAACTGACACCACGGATGTCACTGTCATTCAGAATATGAGTTTGAAGGAGGGATCAGAGAATTAAGGGTCAGGGGAAAAAATAATGGAGAAGAAGTGAGTGCAGGGAATATTGAGGCGACCGCAGCCCTCACCCTACAAATGATGGAGTGACTCCTACTTGTAGGGTTGATGGGCACAGGGATGAAACATTCAGTGTGATGAGGTTGCTGCGGTTATTAACGGAAGATGTAAGAGTAACTCTGGTAATCATGGCGAGCTCTGAGGATGGACAGGCAGGATTTTATTACCAGAGCCACAGAGCAAAATTTTTACCTCAAGTCAAAAGACAGTGTCTGAATTCACCGAAACAACACATGGCACCTTTTGAAAAGGACATAACATAAGCACACTCTGTAAATGTAGCAGTTATAACAAAAACAGCCACTGGAAAAGTTCTGGGCGGAAGAGCTCCCAGCAGGAAAGCTAGGGCAGAGAATCATTCATTTTTATTATGAATTTTATTGTACTCACTTGCTGAAGTTATAAAATGAGTATAATAATAGTACTTAGCTTTAGGGTGGGGAGATAATGAGAGAATTTCTATAAAATATTGAAAATGGCAACTGGAGCACAGTAGAAGCACAAGGAATATTAGCTATTATCATTACTATTACTTTTAACTTAATATATGTGTGCATTATTTTAGTAAAAGTTTTTTTCTTTAAAAAAGAGAGAGGAGGTGAAAGTACTGAGCCAAGATTATTGTCTGCATACTCTAACTAGATTAGCTGCTTAGGTCAGATGAGTTAGCTTAGTTTAGGTTGTTTTTTTTTTCCCCCTAAAATTAGAGAGATACATGTATGTGTAGTTTAAAGGGGGAGGAGCTAGAGGTGTAAGGTTCAGGGAATAAAGAATACAATCAGTAAAATAAAGTGACAGAGGAGACTAGAGAAGCTGGATTTACAGCAGATCTTTTCTTCTCTTAAAGAATTAGCCCGCTACACTGTGGATGTCTTTGAGGTCAGAGGCTGTGGCTTATTGATCCTGGTCAGCTTCCCTTCGGATAGATCACAGCACCTGGCACAGAGCTGTGCACAGCCAGAGCCTTCTAAAGAGTGCATGAGGCTGGAAACTAGAGATGAGTCTAGATGCCGTTCTCTTCCTCAAATGGAGATAAACTCTGTCTGGCTGAATCGTGGGCTTCATGATAAAAATCCTTAAGAGTCACTCTCTAGACTGGAGAGTTTGAGATCCTATTGGGATATTGGATAGAGACTTACAACTTCATGTTCAGGTTGGGAGATGGATCTGGGATCCATGAGTACACGGGTTTAATTGTGTGGGCTTCATAGCCACATGTGATAGAAGCCACCCTGGAAGGAAAAGAGACTGCTAACCAGATACTGTGTGGGGCAAATTGTTTTCCAGAGAGGTGGAGAAACAGGATCAGGTGCAGCTAGAAATAACGGCCACAGTCCTGTCTAGAGCTGGTCTGCGGACACGGGGTGCAGGCCTGAGGCTGTGCTGCCCCTTGAGTCCCTCTCTCTCACACACTGGCATTTAGCCTTTCCATGACCCCTGCTGGCCAGGGTTGGGCAGATATAGCTGGAGTTTGGGTCATGTGCTCCTGTCCCGCCCTAACTACAAGGACAGCCAGGAAACAGATTCCTTCTCTTTTTATCCTCTGAAGGAGAAGTCTAATGCTATCTCCTACCAAGACAGAAAAGGGATCCAGGTATTTGGCATGATAACAGGGGTTACTATGAAGGGGATAGAATGAAAAGAGAGAAGAAAGAAGAGAACAAAAGATAGAACTCACGGGCAGACCAGCACTCACAGGGAGGACATGAAGGGAAATTTGGCAAAGCCTACATAAAGGACAAAGCAGTTGTTCTCAAAGATTGAGAACCAGAGAGCTAGTTAGCAGGAAAGCCTGGGGGAAGGGATTTACAGAGGTTAGCGCTGCCAGCAGGAACCAGCCGGGCACATGTGATCGTGCTGCTGGTGATGACACTGAGGTCAGCTGCTGCTGATGGGCTGGGTGGAGGTGGCGGTGGGGCTGGGGTTCACAGACTGAGTGGTGGGTGAAGGTAATCTCTCAGACTCAGGTGGCAGCCAGGCTTTAGAGAGATGTGGTTAGGCTGGGAGAGCAAGCCAGGGTCTGGAAGGAAGTGGGCTGGAGACATGAGGTGTGGAAATAGCATGGTCATTTGATAGTGGTGGCCAGTTCAGTTAAGTGCCTTGAACCTCAGGCAGTGCCGGCTTCTGTAGGCAGAGGAAAAGTGGTTCAGAGGGCAGTTAAGGCCAAACCAGGGTCTGACTGAAGAAGATTGTTTGCATAACGGTCATGGTTGAAATTTGGAGAGAAGTGCTGAGACAGAAGCAGATGAGGAGGAAAGGCCTGGAACAGAAAAGTGCCTAGTGAGGAGGGAGCTGATGGAGCAAAGAGCAGGAGAACAACGCAAACACAGTGCCCTGGAGCGAGTTCATGCTGGAACCCTCTCCCCTCAGTGATGCCATGGAGTGGTGGGCTCTTCCAGGGGTCATGAGGCCTCGGAGGCTATGCTGTCATGGATGGGACCAGTGCTCATAAGAGACTCGGTCCCTTTGTGCTCTTCCGTCCCTTTGGCCACATGGGGACAGCGTTCATCCTCTCCAGAGGACATGGCAACCAGGCACCATCTCACAAACCTTCTCCTGACACTAGGCTGCCATCTCCTCCACCATGAACCACCCAGACTCCAGAACTGCAAGAAATAAATTCCTGCTCTCTGTGTGTTACTCAGTCTGAGATGCTAGGTATAACATCGGGAAAGGGCCGAGACACACAGTGACTCAGAAAGAGTGGGCCCCATCCATGGCCACGGAGGGGCTAAGAGCCGGTCACATGGTTTAATGGAGAAGACAGTCATGATGATTCCCAAGGGAGAGAGTTAAGCAGAAGAGGAAGGGAACTGAAACCAGATTGCAAGAAGCCAGCAGGAAACGAGGTTTGCTGAACTGCTGTGTTGCTGGACACTTAGGTCCTTGGTTTAACACACCCAAATCAGACATCTGAAAAAGTAGAGATGGCTGAACAGAATGCCTGGCAGGATAGTACAACAAAATAGGGCTGGGATGTAGCTCGGCGGCACAGGTGCTTGCCTGGCAAGAGCGAGGTCCTGAGTTGGATTCCAAGTACCCAAAACAAAACAAAACAAACAAACAAACAAGCAAAGGGCCTGGGATGTAGCTTGGTAGCACAGCATCTGCCAGGCAAGCATGCGGTTGTGAGTTCAATTCCTGATACCAAATAAATAAATAAATAAATAAACAGAAGCCTCCAGCTGGTTTCCCTGACAACCATTTCTCCATTTGAAAGTAAAGGTGGCAAAACCCGGGGAACCGTGTCATCGCCAGGATTTGTCATGGAAGTGGTGGCAACACAAGGCTTTGGCGTCAAATCGGCTCGTTTTGACCCCAGCGGTGGAGCCTGCCCTTCCTGGCTATCGTCCTGTTCCTTGGCTGGGCCTGTCGCCGTCCACTTCCAGGCTCCTACGAGGAACTTCAGCTGGGAGGAAGCACTCGGTAGATAATGAAGTTGCCACTGTTACTACCGAGCAGGACACTGGATTCCAACAAATGACCTCGCGTCCTAAAATGCAAACCGAGAAACAAGCCTGCGATGTGGGCTTGGGAAGGTGAAGCGGTCTGTGCGGACTAAGGAGCCCTTTCCTAGGACACAGCGCTCCCCAGGGCCAGTGGGATGCAGACACCGAGTTCCTCCACACTGGAGGCTCTGCAAGCCACACTACACGCGTGACACCACGGGCTGGGGTCCCTCTTTCTTCCCTTGAATGATTCCTCATGTTCGGCCGAGACTCGCAGAGACACCTTGCTCCCGGCTCGCTCCCCACCGCCTGCTCCTCCCTCTTCACCTCGCCCGCACCTGCGCCAGCTGCCTGTGTCACCTGAGCCCGCAGCTGCTGCTCCCGCCGTCGCCGTCGCCGCCGCCTGCCTCCCACCCAGAGGCCCCATCACCCTCGAAAGATGAACAGCTCTGGCGCCCAACCCGAGCCAGCAAGTGACCAACTTTTCCTCATTCCCAGAGCTCATCAATTGCTCCACCACCAGTTAGGGGAATAGTCCTCCGCGCCACTGGGTGTCGCTGTGCACACGCACTGCTGCGTGTTAGAGGGCTGTTTCAATCTTTTAAACAGCCGTGCTCCTGAAACTGATGAAGATTCATAGATTTTTATATTTGTAACATCTGACTGCGCTTAGTCAACTGAGTCTACAGAGAATTTTTATGCTGCATTTTCATCTGACGAGATTTCAGTTTTCAATGTCAAATGAGTATCTGTTTAGCCCAACTGCAAAAACAGGGCTCACACAGATTACTGTGCTTCCCAGTGTGATCCGCCCTAAACAACGTCTAGTATAACTGCTAGCAACCTATAATTAATAACTATCATGCTGGGTCTACAGCTAGTTCTTACGAAATCCAGAAGTCTGTTGTCTCCTTTTCTGTAAAGCTAGCACAGAATTAAAAGTGTGGAGCCCAGTGTTTAACATCAAACTCGCGAAGACGACTCACAAGTGCCTGCCCGCACGTGTTCTGCGTACATCCTACACACTCACTTCGACAAGCCAGATGTGGTGATGTGTGTCTAATCCCAGGTCTTGGGAGGTTGAGGCAGGAGGATTGTTGCAAGTTTGAGGCCAATCTGGGCTACATAGTGAGTTCAAGGGCAGTCTTCGCTAAATCATGCGACTCTGTCTCAAAAGAAAACAATCACTTTGACCAAAAAAAAAAAAAAAAAAAAAAAAAAAAAAAAAAAAAAGAGTTACAAGGTAACATATTTCTTATATACTTTGGCCAAAGTATAAACACCTGGAAAAGTCTCATTATCACAATTTTTAAAGTTATAATTAAAAATAATTATTGTTCCTAAATTTTACATGGAAAATTAGAAAGAAAAGAAAATTAAAGAAATAACAATTCTAATGTCAATTGCTCCTACTCAGCAATTGGCTATTGTCATTTTTTAATTTTTTAATTTTTATTTTGAAAAGAATAAAATGAGAAAAGAAAAAAATACAATGGGGTCATTCAAAACCAAAGGATGGACATATTACATAATTTAAAACCACAATACAAGGTGATCTACAATGGTTACCATGATGTCTCTTCTTATCTTCAATAGACTTGCCCATATCATTAGGTATAATAAAATTGAACATAGCAGTATGGGATAAAATCAGTAAAAACAAAACATTGGAGACATTATAGGACTCAAGAGAGGATAACAGTCAGACAAGAATGGGTATCATAGTGAATCTTGTCCTCAGGGTAGTTGCCTATACTCTCAGACTTGACACTATCAAACATAACAAATTTGAATAAAATCAGTCAAAACAAGACAGTGATCGAACAAGACAGATTCAAATAATATCGGTTAAAACAAGGCAGTGAAAGAAATACAGGGTTTGAGATTAAGTTAATAGATTAAAAATGTATACCATAGTATATCCTGCTATCTTTGGAATATTTGTCTATGCCCTCAAATCTAGTACAAAGACACAAGCTGGAACAGAATATATCCAAACTAAACAGAGCACTGAAACAATGTGGGTTTCAAATCATGATACAAGATTACCAATGTCCTCTGTCTTCCCTATTTAGACAATTCCTCCCCTTCACTTTTCCAGAGTATATTGTACATTATGTATCCCACTAACTCCTTTAGTTTTTAGGTTAGGGAGGCAACCTGCTATTTACCTAAGTGGTTCTAAACCTTTTTACCCCTGAGGTTGGTCTCAGGTTGTATCCATTTAATTACAAGCAAGGTTTTCCATCCTTATAGCTTCCTTATAGTTCTCCATTGTATGAAGGTGTTATGTCTTTCCAACCTATCTGCAGCTGATGGGCAAGCTACCCCGCTTTTTTCTGGTTCCTTGTCACATAGAGCATTATTTTCTCATCTTTGACTTTTAGTCCATAAATGCTCTTTCAGGATATATATATATATATTAGTACTGGAGATTGAACTCATGACCTTGTGCTTGCCAGGCAGGCGCTTATGCAGGTGAGCTAAATCCCCAGTCCTAAATATATTTGTTATATAGAGCATCTTGATGGACCCTATCTTCTGATCCACTCTGCCTGTGTTTCTTTTTATTAGTGTATTGAGGCCATACATGTTAGCGATTATGGCCAACCTTTTCTGTCTCATCTCTGCCATGCTCTTTTTCTGCTGCTGGTTGTCTACTTTGCCCCTTCATTCCACTGTCTGCCCCATTCAGTGAGCCCCCTCTGTCGCTGGTCTTGAAATCATGGTCTTTTTTTTTCTCTCTCTCTAGAATGTCCTTCAGTATTTTTTTAGGGTTGGATTGATGGTCAGGAACTCTTACAGTTGTTCTTTGTCATGGAAGCGTCTTGTTTCTCCATTAACTTTGAGAGATAATTTTTCAGGGTACGTCAAATCTGGGTTGGAGGTTATTTTCTTTCAGGACTTGGAATACTTCGCTCCAAGCTCTTCTTGATTTGATGGTTTGTGTCAAGAAGTCTGCTGTGATTCAGATGGGTTTTCCTTTATAGGTGATCTATTTCTTCTCTCTGACAGCTTTTAATATTCTGATCTTATGTTGAATTTCTGGGATCTTGACTATTATATGTCTGGGTGTAGATCTATTCTGGTTGTAGCTGGCTGGAGTTCTATATGCCTCATATATCTGAATATTATTTCCTTTTCCTGTGCTTGGGAAGTTTCCCTCAATTATTTCTGTAAATAGCCTTTGTATTTCATTTGTGTTTACCCCTGCTTTTTCACTCACATTTTTTATTCTTAAGTTATAGATTCTCTTGTCATCTTCTAGCCTTTGTATTGCTACTTCCTGGCTCCTTGTTATTTTTAAGAGATCTTTCCTTTCATGATCACACATTTCAAACCTGTTTTCAAGGTTTGATAGTCTATCTTTAGTTTCTTTCAAGCAGTTTTGCCAGTGTTCAGTAGAGTTTTTAATTTCCTGGCAGTCTCTTTGAATCTGTTTCATATATTCTAGATTTTTAAAAATATTCTTCATCAAAGGTTTCTCTCCTTTTTCTATGCCCCTCCATTCTTCCATCTGTGTCTTCTTGAGAGATGCTTAGCATTTCTTTTATTATTTTTTTTTTAGTTTCCTTTACTTGTATTAGAATTTCTGTTTTTAGTTATTTTATAATGCCATGAAGATATTTCTTTATGTCGGATCCTGCTTTTTCAGGCACCGAAGGTGTGCAAACCCTATCTCCTCTGTGCTTACCTCTCCTGGGCCAGTATTATTTGTGTTGGAGGCTGGAGACTTCCTTTTGTTTCTTCCTCTTGTCATGTTTCTGGTTTCTTCCAGACAAGTGGATAATGGGGGTCCCAGCACTTCCTATATTGGCTACGATTACTCTAAAGCATGCTGACTAGGAATTGCTGCCTTCCCCAGTCTGCTGGTGACCTCTAAACTACAAGCAGAGGTGGGGCAGGCTGGACCCACCCTTCTGATCTGGTCTAGCACTGGGAGCCTTCACCTCGTTAGTGTGTGCCATGCAGATGGGGCCAGTTAGGGATAGCTTTAGGGAGACTTGTCCTTGGCTACTGGATCACACACAGGGGCAGGGCTCAGTCCAAGCAAGTCTCACCAATCTGCTCTATGCTAGGAGTGGCTGACTGAAGCCACTGCAGTTCTGGTTCCGGGTTTATCCTGCCCAACTCCAAAATGTTGCCTGGCTAGTTGCCCACTCCCACAGGAGGACTGAGTTCCTCACAGTCACCTCGAGCTAGTACAGATCTCCGAGCCAAGTGCTGTTCTCTGTTCTGCCACTCTCCTCTGTGAGTGAACACATCCTGCTGAGGAGGCCCTCAGGCTCGCCAATCCCCAACTTCACTGTGACTGTGCATCTTTGGATTCCAGCAGCTTTTCATACACAATGGGACCAGCTCTGGTGAGAGCAAATCTGGCTACAGCCTTCTGTCCATGTTTTTCTTTTCTTTTTTTTCCCTTTAGTTTCTTCCTGAGTTGAGATGATCCATCCCCTTCCATCTGGTCTTCTCTAGGATGTTTTATTCCAGCATCAGAGCTGTTCTCTCAGAGAGACTCTGTTTTGCTGCTTACTGATCTGCCATCTTCCTAGCTCCTTATTGGCATTTCCTAAGGAACCATGCTAATGAATTCCATTTTTCCTTTAGCCAATCCAAGATTTCCTTTGTTTAACATTTGTATTGTTAAGTAAGTTTTGTTATATTTCAAAACCTGACATGTCCAGAATTTTAGAATGAGGCCAAATAAATACTTTGTGTAACACTGTGTGTGTTTCTGTGCTACTGGGGATTGAACTCAGGGCTTCACACTGATCTATGACTCTGTCCTTTTTTAATTTTGATTTTGAGATGGGGGGTTCACTAAATTGTTAAATTGCCCAGGCTGGGCTCAGACTTGCAATCCTCCTGTCTCAGCTTCAGCCTTTTAAATATAGTTTCAAACAAAATATTTTGCTACACCAGGTCAGTACACTGTGTCTTTTGTAGAATGTTTCTCCCTAAGTTTTGATTACTAATCCTAAAAACTAGAGATACTCAGAAAAAAGTAGTTTTTCAAGTTGTCATAACATCCAGTCTCCTCAGGGGTTCTTAATATTCATATATTTATACTTTACTGTGAACTACATTTTTGTCAAAATAGTCAACTCCTGATGGCAAGATATGACATTTTAATAAACATTCTTCTGTAGTTTGATATGATAAGGGCATTCTGGATTGTATTAGTGCAGTGTTTGGGGTGAAAAGTTTAGGAATTTGGAGCTGGGAAGGTGCAACCATGGTAGAGTATGTGTGAGGACCTAGGTTCAATATCTAGCACCAGCACCACCAGTACTACCACAACCATTAACACCACCACAACCATCATCACCAACATTATCACCATCATCACAACAACCCCTATCATCACAACAAACACCGCCGTCATCATCACCATCACCACCACCATCAACACCATCATCACCATCACAACCATTACCACCACTACAGCCCCAACAAATTGGGAACATACATAAGCAAAGTCATGTAAATCAGCATTTTGAAATTTTTTAAACTAGTTTTTTTTTTTTTTTTTTGGTGCCTGAAGTTGAACTCAGGACCTCACATTTGCCAACAGATGTAGTGCCATTGAGCTATATCCCTAGTCCTCT